GGCTGGCCCGCGGGCCCAGGCCCGTTTTGACATCTCTAACAATATAAATGAATGTTTATTTAAAAAACTTAATATTTGAAATGTAGTTATCGTGTGTTATTTTTTGATTTCGTGACTGATGGACTCTTTTATTAGTTAGTTGGTTTGAATCAATATATAACAAATTTTGTTGTCAATCGTTATTAGAGTTTTTTAATTAATTTGTGTAAATACATAAATAAAAAGAGACCTAAACTATAAAATTTTTTTCATCTTTTGAAATCTAATAAATGACAAACACTATCTTTTAAAATAAATAATGATAATGATTATAAATTGTATTATCAAAACCGATAAGGTATATAAATTCGTTTTCCTTTTCAAATCGATAATGAAGAAAAAAGTCTAATTGGGAAAAAGATGATATATACAAATCATGATTTTAAAAATCTGATATATACAAATCTTAGCATGCGGTTTCAAACAATTTAATAATATAATAATAGGCTGAATGAATTATGATTCAGATTCATGCAGAAAAATTTTTGAACAGATTTCTAAAATCATGATATATACAAATCATGATTTTCCTTGGAGATTTATTCAGATTTCCAAATTGTTTGGAAATCACGATTTTTAAAATTATGATTTATTCGGATTTACATTCGGATTTCCAAATTGTTTGGAAAAATAGGAGATTTAATCAGATTTTGATTCCTTATTGGTTACTAATATAAAAGTATTTGATATTATTAATAAAAAAAGGGAAAAAGTTCATTTACTATTTTTAGGAGATAATTAATGAAAGTGGCGAGAAATTATTTCTAAATTTGATTTATGTTAATCCTTATTATATAGGATTAACATATATGTTACTTTCACGTAAATACTAATATATATATATATATAAATTATTTCTAACAATTATTAGAATTATGATTGATTTTTAAAAAGAATCTTTAGTTGACAATATTAATTATATGTTTTATATTGTATTTAAAATTTTTTTAAAATACGTATGGTAAGTGTATTTCTTAAATTAAGTGTATTAAGTATGGTAAGTATATTTCTTAGATTTATTTGATTTTGATTCCATATTTTGATTGTATTCCTAAAAAAATTGGATAAAAAAGGTATGCTAATAAATAGAGATTTTGTTAATTTACTATTTTTAGGAAATAATTAATGAAATTGGCGGGAAAGTGTTTCTAAAAGTGAATTATGTTAATCCTTATTATATATTAATAGATTTGCTTTATTTAATTAGGAGAGTAATCTTTTTCTTGTTTAGCAATATAGGGAGACTCTATTTATTTTCGGTCTCTTGCATTCAAGATGATCGGTTTCTGAAGAAATAAAAAAAATACAGATTTGGGATTTTTTTTTTCTTTTTCCCTTTCGTTCATGTTGCGCCTACATCAGTTGGAATCCAGAGACCAGGACGATTCTAGATGCCGCCAAAAAGGAACGACACTGCCGACGATAGGCGTGACGCCGCCATCGATCATTGAATTGCCAAGTCTAGGGTTTCGGTTGAAAATTCTAGACGGTCGGTCGCGAGATGGCAGACCTCTCAATAGGCATGGAGGACATCCGTTTGGCTCTCCAGACGATGATGCAACACGAGACGAACCGCGACATCCTCGATGGAAGAGCCGACAATTGCTGAGGGTTTTGTGGGAGCCACGGGGGTTACAATCAGGCGAGAGGTGATGGCAGACAGAAGATGCCGCGAGAGGAGGAGGATAGCGATTCTGATGTCATGGTGGAGGAGTTGTAACATGAATAAGACGATGCGGCCGGTGACCAGCGCTGGGAGGGGTCTTTTTGCGTAGACATTCTGGAGCTTACAAAAGAGCTCGATGTTGTAGAGTTTTTCGACTCGTTGGCGGCAGTCGAGACTGTGTTGGAATTCATATAAGTGTCGGACGAGAGGAAGGCTAGTCTCGTCATGACACGACTTCTTGGCTGAGCTGTTGCATGGTGACAGCAGTTGAAAGACTCACGGCGTCGCCTCGGGTAGCCAAATATTTCGTCGTGGGCCAAATTCCGCAAACATATTGAACGTGAGTTTCTCCCATTTAATTTCTTTAATACCATGTATCATCAACTTCAAAATTTGAGACAAGGTGCAAGATCCATGGGCGAATATACGTATGATTTTTGTCGTCTTCTTAATCAGCTCGATATTCGCGAAACTAATGACCAATTGGTGTCTCAATATATTTCGGGATGGTGCATTTGACGAGGGGGGATACCTTAAATTTGTTCGCATCATACACGATTTCAGATGCTCACCAGCGTGCCCTGCTCCTTGAGCAACATTTGGCTCGACCGTTGAGTGTGACTTTCTCCTCTGGACCGCGGCGGATTCTGTAGGCTAGGGGGGACCAGTCAAAGTCCGCGGGCGAACAGTCGAGCCGCAACGGCGCATAGGGTTGGGCGGAAATCCTGCAGCAGCGGGCTCGTTTTTGGCGGACGCGGGCTTCATGCACCGACAGTGGCGGCTGGGGACTGGCCAGACGTAGGGCTGGGATGTTTTGCTTATGGTGAGGCAGGACACCGGCAGTCTGTGTCTCCGCGGTGGGGTAGTTTTGTATACTAATTTAAAATAGACACTCTTTTGTAATTTTGGTACAATTTTAATTTCATATAATATCCTCAATCCTCCCTATATATTATTCCCGAATGCGCTGAGCCTACGTGGCTATTTTTGGTGCTTCGGAATCCTATTTGGCAAAGAATCATGCTTCGTAATTAGGTTTGGACAAATAATATTGATATATTAATAATTAATAATCTAGGTTCGGACATTCCATAAATATTATTTAGCTAATTTAGGTATTTTAATATAACTTTTACTAATATAACCCTTTAATTTGTTGTAATTTTACATAGTGAGACACTAAGTAACTAATATATCACTGACTTTTGATTTGTTTCGTTCAATTAGCTATTGAATTGTAAATGTATTTTAAAAGTTGATAACTTTTGTATTTCTTATCGGTTATACATATATAATATATCAAATTAATTATCTTTTGATGATCTTTGATTTGACATCCATATTGTATATATAAAATAAATAAATCATATTTATCTTTATAATAATAAAAATAATAATATTTATGAAAATTCATTAGAAAAATAAAATTATCAAAAAAATATTATAATATAACACAGGTAAGACGTACAAATAAAAAAGTGTCATACTAAATATATAATAATATATATATTTTTTTTTTATAAAAGGTGTTGAAATTTTCAATTACTTTTTCTCATTAATTTTAGATTTTAATAAAAAATTAGCAAGGACTCGTGTAATACACGAGCGTTGTACTAGTAATTAATATAGGTAAATTATATTGTGTATTGATTCCATATATTTTATGTAGAAATATTAGTTGATGACCATTCTTAATTTTTAAATATTAACAAATATCTCTTATACGTGCATAGCAAGAGATTAATAATACTAATTAATCTTTCACAATATCTTTCTCAAATAATTTTTTTTTTTTTTTT